TTCCCCCCCCCCCCTCCCTTGTAGTAGGGAATCAAGATTCTTTGTTTTTCTTTGATCAACTATGTTTAAATCGGGCTTCACCCTCATGAAACATGATTAATCTCGAAAAAAAGAAAGAATAGTGTTTCCCTACAGTAAGTACAATAAATGAGTAATATGACATTCTTTCAGATGTGTGTCACACATAGGTAGCATGTATGTTTAAACCTGACGGAGCTCATCAAGCTTTGTTTACCTGACAGAAGTGGTATACACAGGAGGCGAAGCTGGCAGCACTAGACAGGAGGTTCTGTATAAACCCACGGGTCTGCTGGAACTTATCGGACACCTCCCACACCGTTCTCTGTTTCCATAGTCCGTACAGCATCAGTGTCAGGTAGAACCGTCCCACCACAAAGTCGTCTACCTTCTACAACAAACCAGACAACACCAGAAAATATTACATACCATATCAAATATTCGATTTTAATATAAAACCATTTTGTAAAATAAGACATGTTTTATTTTGTCAAACTTATCCTGAAAATAATATTATGAAGGTAATATGTATTATGTAAAAAGAAAATGCACCACAAAATCAACGAAATTAAAACCTCACAAAAATTAGTGATTTCATAGTACAGTGTATCAGGTAAAACTAACACTATTCATACTTGTTGGCCCGAATGGAAGCGTGGAGAGGATCTTAACCCTTTCACCCCTAGATAACTCGAGTAGACTCTACCATGCATTCATCTGGATAAGTCCATAATGGTCTACAGTGGTGAAAGGGTTAATGTGGGAGGTAACTGGAGTACTCAGGGAAAACGTAGTAGGGCAAGTGACCCAGTACCTTTTCACGTCAGATCAGGGAATCCAATCCCAGCCATCCTGTTAAAAAGCAAGTGCACTTAGACATACCTACAGGTTAGAATTTGAAATACAGTTTCTGTGTAAAGTGCTCTGATCATGTCTGTGTATTCCAAGTAAAAAGTAAACAGGAAATATCTGATGCAGAAAATTAGTTTATGTCGGACGAGGGATGCTGATAACTTCTTACAGTAAAGTTGACTAATAAGTCAGTTTTTAACATCTTCCTACATCTCCAATTACTATACCTGTCTGGAGTTTTGTCCAGACGCTTTCCTAGTGATGTATCCCTCTGGAACTCCGATCAATGCAGCCATCTTCAACTCAACAGGGTTTAGAGTGCTCATCTAGAAAATTCAAATAAGGACACTCAGCCAAATTGACTTTTGAAAGAACAAATGAAAATCACATTTCATGAAAAGGTGGGAATAACAAATATATGAAAAAAGGTACTGTGAAATCACTAATTTTCATTGGGGTTTTATATTTCCTTGATTTCGTGGGTACTTTCATCCACAAATTCGTAGGTCAACCAGGTAACTACAAGTTTGATATTTAGCAATATTCTGTTTGAGTCAAGAGAGTTCTTGTAATCCCCAAATTCATGTACCCACGAAATGGTGTTTTGTCAGGAAAGCACAAAATTTGGGTACCATGAAAACATCTGATTTCACAGTATCTCCTCATTCTTGGGTACATATACCCACCTCTTGGAAGTAGACAATCCAGGAGGGTTTGACCATGCTGACCATGTCATAGGGAGTGACAAGGTAGAGGAGATGGAGATGACTAGACAAGACAAGAGACTCCTCTCCCTGGTGGAGGTCAGTGTAGAGACGGCCTGACCAATCCAAGTTGACAGACCCTATAAAATACAGAAAAACTTTAAAGTAAATAGCCTACTTTCACTTTCCACAATATTATGCTTGTGATCAGGCGGGAACAGAGTCAGTAAAAGTAGGTGCTGGGATTTTTCCAACATTGATGAAATAGACAAGTATTAAAACCTATATGAAGTGGAAATAAAATTTTGGCAGATATTGTGTTAACACCATGCATATTTGCTTCAAATTAATTAAACAGAAAACCTGCAAGTTTATACATGTAGATGTCATTGACCATATTATACCAATGATGATTAAGCCCAGGGGGTGTAGTGTTAGTAAAAATAGTCTATCAGCAAAATAATTACAACTGATCATGTTAAGGTCATGCAGCAAAATTGAATTCCAGGAAACCCCCCAAAATGTTTCTAGATATGGCTTATTCCCTTATGTACAGCAATCAACTTATCAACTGCTCTGAACCAAAATTATAAAAAGGTCTAGTACTAGTGCAGACTTGAATATTACATGAGAGACATTGCTTTTCCATCATTTCTGTGTGTGTAAGACAGAGCTGTCAAGGGTTAGAAAGGGGTGTAAGAAATTTCTATCTTACACCCCATTTCACGTGACGTGACATCACAATTGCTCAGGTGAAAAATTGATATTTTCAAAACAGAAACCAGTCCAAGTGCATGTTCATGGTTTCTGAACTTATTATGGTAGATAGAATGAGAGAAAAAATCTCTTTCATGTGCAGGGGTGTAGGATAGGGAAATTCCATCTTCGGGATTTTCAAATTTGGCAAAACACCTGACATAGCCTTGGGTTTTACCCTTTGAAAACCTCTCAGGTGGAATTTCCCTATCTTACACCCCTGGGCATGAAAGAGTCTTATAGTATTTAGTTTTGTAGTGGTGAATATAGGATAGCTTTAAGCTACATATACAGGCACATTCTATGTACAATATATCCTACCCTTAAAGGTTGCCCGGCCAAGCGTGGTGACCTCCAGATGATGAAGGTCCTCATCTGTTTCCTGTGACAATGCCCGTTTCTGTGTGACAAGTCCCAGGTCAACGAGTTGTTGTAGTGCCTGGCGTGTCACTTCTACGATGTCACATGGTACGCCACGACTAGCCTGCACCGACAGTAACGTCTTTTCCATACAGGCGAAAACCTCTCTAGTGGTCTTGGTCATCTGAAAGTTTGAAACTGCTGGTTTAGCAAATGCGAAATAAACCAATTTTTTCTAATCACTGTTATTATGAGTCAGGGTCTGATGAAGTACAAACGTTACAAAAATTTATATAGGTTAAATTTATAGCAGAGAATTCTTAATTCAAAACATTTTTTTCTACTGACAAGTCAAATTAGAGCAACCGTATGCATATGATAATTTTTTATTTGACAGCAACATTAGTGCATATACCTTTAACCACATTATAAAACATCTCAAGGCTATCAAATGAATACCCCTTGGCCTTGAAGATGGTAGCCTGTTGACATTATATCAGTCGACCGAATAGCAATGGCTAGTCTTTAAATAGTAACAGTGACCTTGGCGTTGACCTTGCTGTACAAACTCATTCGAGGTATTCTCATACCTGACTTTAGTATAAATGTTTTTTGAAAATCTGTTAAGAAATGAAGTTGGTGAGTCATGACAAACAATTGCAAGGAGATGGGACAGGGGAGGGGGCCAGCAAGGGGGCGAAACCGGATGGGATGGACATGGGTACGTAACTCTATATGCCCCAACAAAGTGATGGGGGCCATTAAAACTATAGGATAAGTAGTACCTCCTACCTGTAAACCAACAGCGGACAGAAGTAATCCACGGATACCTTTGCCATCGTCATGCATCAAACTGCTGTGACACACCTCCATTGGAGCTGTCAGTAGCTCGCCAACCTGTTGAATGATGATGTATTTATAGAAAATGTAAACGTGTTCAAAATATTATTTTTCACCTGAAGACTATCAAAATAATATCTTTTAAAAGGTAGAAAACAATATCAATCTGGTTTTTGACCAAACAGGGTGTTTTATACAGGGCCGCTTTTGTTTATTGCGACCCAAACAGTTGAACCGGTTGGACCAGAGTTGTTCGTTTATGAAATAAGGTAGGACCTAGTAATCTGATGCTGTTTTCAGGCGAGCCTTGACAAAGCCTTGCAAGGCCTGCATAAACATTTGCAGGTCTGCCAGGATTTATACCAAAAAATGTTACATTTAGAAACAAGACATAAACGAACAACCCATAAGTTTATACCTGGTTGTTGTTAGATCTACGGTATATGCTGATGTCAGTACCTTCTCTGTGTCGGAGGACTTGGTGATGAGAATGCTCTCTCCGGTCGAGTCAATGCCCGCCCTTCCAGCTCGACCAACCATCTGTTTGTACTGACTTCGACTGATGAATTGGCTCCCAACATAGGGAGATCTCAATATCACCCTTTAAAATTTGAAAGACAGATTATATATTATATCTAAAATTATTTGTAAGAATTTATGATATATCTAAATTATCTCTCAAACTGCCTATCTTTATTTCTATTAAGTGCTGATCCACAGGTGTAAAATGGCTGCAGAATTCCTTTATGAGAACTTTTGTGCAGGTCTGATATGGAAGAACCTGGCAACTCAAGTACATGTAACAGTTATACATACACCTTAAGGCAAGATAGGTAACTTGTGTTAAAATCACTTTAAAAGTTTAGCCACACTTAACTTGCCATCATAATTTTTAGAAAGGTAGGGCGAGTCTGATTCATATTCAAAATCAACTTCACCTTTTCACTTGTTCCAGGATTTTTGCACCGAGGCTAAGTTAAGGCTGATCACGTTAGATGGTGAGGTTTGGCTCTGACTTGACCATTACCTTTTAGCTGGGAGGTTGACCCCTGCTGCCAGTGTTGAGGTACAGGTAAGGAGGCAGAGGGTTCCATCAGCATAAGCATCCTCTATCAGTCGACGCTCATCCGTGGTCAGGCCGCTGTGATGGTACGCCACGCCGAAGTGGAGAGTGTACTGGAGGACCGGACAGATCTTTCCTGCTCCGTCGTTATACAGTTCCTTCAACAACGCTTTTCGTTCGGTCTTCTTCACCAGGGACAACTCGCTGTTACACAGGACAAACACTTTGTGTGAAGATCACAAAAAAAAAGTTCTGGAAACAGATTATCATCAACCTGACAGATCATATTGGTTTAACAAGAGGCCCATGGGCCTTAACGGTCACCTGATATATTTATACAGAGAGTTGATTTCGTTTTTAACATGAACAGAAATATTATTCAAAGTGACAAAAAACAATAAAACCACCTTATTCAATATCAAGCATACAGATTTCAGACTAAAAAGGATTTGAAACTAGCACCTCTGATTCTAAACAAGGAAAATGAAGAAATTTTAGCACACTGACTCCCTTGAGCCCCACCCTACAGCCCTTGGGGGTAGGGCTGGCTCAAAATTTTCAAAGTATCAAACTGTCAACTCAAGGTTATAATTCCAATCAAGTTATTAACATGTAATA